AGAACTTACCCACAAACATTCTAAGGAGTCATTTGCAGTAACCAATTCAAACCTTTAGGTAGCTAGCAGCAGGCAGACTGATGTACTGAAATGACAAAGCTCATCCAGAACAAGAATTCAGAGTTAGGCCAATGCAAAATGTTCAGGAAGGCTGTTCCAAAATTTGCAGGAATTGAATCTCTTGGTAGGCATCAAAAATAACATGAGTCACTAGCCTCTGTGACTCTGATTCGTCTATCACAGAGATGGGTCCTCTGCTCTTTCAGATTAGGCTTCTGACAGTTCCCACCTGTGCTTTAAGCAGTCCAAGCACATTGAAATCACACCAATATGTGTATCCTGGATATTTCTATTCCATCTTCCTCCTCATGAGAGGGTTAAACTTGTAATTGCATCAGTTTCCTTAGGGCCTCATCTGCTTTTGAAAGTCCAAATCCTAAAGAGGAAGACTCCAGTGCTGTATGCGTGATGGTTCCAGCAGTTAACCTCACTATTAAATATTTTTCATCTTATCTACAATAAGAACTTCTCTTGCTGCAACTCATGGTTATTGCCTCTTGTCCCTCCAGTTGTGTCTCCTGAAGAGAATTATAAGATCCTCCTGACATTTTCTTCTCAGGGTTTGACAAGCGCAGCTCCATTCACCTCTTCTCGTATGTGTCAGGTGCTCTAGTCTTGTGCGTGACCTCCACTGGATTTTCTCCTGTTTGCCAATCTCTCTCTTGATGCCAAAATTAATCACAGTATGCTGGATACAGCCTCACCATTGTAGAACTGAGGGCAATAATAATTTCCCTCAGCTTCTATACGGTCTTAGTAACACAGCCAAGTATGTGGCTATTTTCCATCTCTGTAAGGATCACCACTGACAGTGCTAGGTCAGTAAAACACCTTACGCTCTGCTTAAATAAGCATATGGCTAATACCTTACACACAAAACCTATTTTTTTAGATACAGAAGTATTACACCAATAAATGTATTATTCTGTATTCAGCACCCTTGAGTTACCAAACACAAACTACTTATTTTTACAGTTCCTTGCTACAAGAAAACTTGCTAGTGAACAGTTGAACAATTTTAAATATACTAAAGAATACTTAGAGGGAATTTAGCTTTCCTTTCAATGGGTAATATGCACAGGAAATAGTTTCTCCATTTAACTCATGAGTCAGTCCTTAAAAAGGACACCATTATTGCATTACGGTTTCTTCTGTGTTGATTGTAAAAAGCAAATAATCTTTAAAGGAGTTTCTTGAAAGGACTGACATCTGTGGGAAACACAGTCCACACTAACAGACAAATAAGTATGACCAACTTATGTGTCACTAAGTGCCCATAGAAGACATTCACACTGAAATGCCATTCTAAAGCATACTGAATAGGGACGGACACAGAACACAGCACACATTAGGACATGATTTTTCCATATTTTAATAACTGAGAAATGTTTTGCACACCAGATGCTTGTGCTGCCTTTCAAATGGACCTCAAAAGATTGGAGCAATGGACAACAGGAAGCTTCCTAAGTTCAGTAAAGTGAAGTAGCTAGTCCTGCACCTGGGAAGGAATAACCTCATCCACCAGTGCAGACTAGGGCCTGACTGTCTGGAACACAGCTTGGCAGAGAAGGTCCTGGAGGTGCTGGTTGGACACCCAGTTGAATATGACTCAACAGCGTGCCTTGTAGCAAAGAGGGCTGACAGCATCCTGAGCTTGGTTAGCAAAAGTACAGCCAGCAGGTCTAGGGAAGTGATTATATCTTGCTCTTCAGGAATTTTGGGGCAACATTTGGGGTTCAGTGTGCAGTCTTGGGCTCCCCAATGTCAACAGGAACATGGAAATAATGGAGGGAGTCCATCAAAAAGCCATTAAGATTTTTAAGGGACTTGATTATCTCTCATATGAGGAATCATAGAATCATAGAATGGTTTACATTGGAAAGGACCTTAAAGATCATCAAGTTCCAAACCCCCTGCCATGGGCAGGGACACCCTCCACTAGACCAGGTTGCTCAAAGCCTCAAGAGAAGGAGAGGCTGGGAGAGCTGGGACTTTTCAGCCTGTACAGGATAAGGCTCAGGGGAATCTTATACATGTGTACAGATCCCTGATGGGATCAGTCAGACTTCTGATGATAATAACTGAAATACAGGAAATTCCATCTAAACCTGAGAAAAGAAACCTTTGTGAGAGTGGTCAAATACTGAAAGAGGTTGCCCAGAGAGGTTGTAAAGTCTCCATTTCTGGAGATATTTGAAACCGGACATGGTTCTGGCCAGCCTGCTGTCGTTACCGCTGTTTTGAACAGAGGGTTTGACTAGGTAATCTCCAGAGGTTTTCTTCCTTCCAAACTCAGTGACTCTGTGATTCTGTGATAGATGCACTTCAGTCCACAATCTTGCTGAAATTCATTTAAATAAGAGTACAGGCCAGCCAGACCTCAGCCTGCTCTTCATTGGCTCCTAGTTCAGCACTAAGACTAGAGCACGTTTAGATTATTTTACAGTACTCTATCATGCTGAATATTAGCATAATTAGCAAAGTTATTAACAATATCTCTGGATTCAATGTACTGTTGAGAATTTCCTTCTAGTGTGAACTTACTGCCTTACAGGTATCACTCTGACATCCAAAATGACACTTCATTGGTATATTGCTCACTCCCTCTTTTGATACACAGATGTTTTTTGTAAATATCCACTTTTTTCTTTCTATCCATTTTACCCCAGAGCCTGAGAGAGTCATCTGGTGAATAATTACATGGACTTTTACCCATAGCCCTGCATCATTGCTACTGCAAGTGTTTGGTCTTTCCTTTTTTTGTTGGCATGTTTCCCAAAGCTAGCCAGCTTCTTCCTCCCAAAACATGCTAGGACTGTGTTATCCTACACTACGTTGCTGAAATGCCATTAGTGTGTCTGAAGTGTGTCAAAAAGTTCCATACACACAACTCATAGACAGGCAACATTACACCAGAGCCAATGAGTTCTGTTAGCCGTTGTGAGTACATTTATGCCCATTTGTTGCAGTGACTTCAGCAGATCATGCGTGTAGGTCTTCTCTAGCCCACCATTCCACTTCCTGATGCCACTGAGAAATTGTGTTGCATCAGTACCGTGTTTGAAACACAACGGCAGGCACACTTTGGCAAACCTGAGCAAAGCCAACATGGGTTGGGCACTGATTCCTACCTGGAGAGATGTGACTAGAAGGAAGCTCCCTTATGACATTATCAGTGCTAATACTGCCTATTTAAAATTCACAAGAAAATTGTAAGAATTATACAGACAGCATCATCAGATGCTAACCAGAAGGTTAAATGAGCTCTGCGGGATGCCCTAGCACACTTGTGCCTCAGAGAACATGAGGTTTAGAGAGCGCTGCCGTGCCCAAAGCCACCACACACAGCTCTGCGGAGTGGGTATTTCACATCAGTGAACGACAGAATTTTGACAATCAGGCTATCACCAATTAGTGTCAGGTTTTTATTGCCTGACAGGCAAGCAAACCCCAGGCACAACAGCCTCTGCTTTCCAGGCTCCGAGGAACACCGCTGATTTATCACCGGCTTCCTGAGTTCTTTCTAACATTTGTCATCAACCTACATCTGTCATTGCTGCGTATAAGCAGAGGGGACCAAGCCAGCAAGTGTTTCGCCACTCCACATAGAATACTGTGGGGTTTATTTACACCTTCTCAATTCTACCCTCATTCAGGTTCCCAGACATTCATGTTTTGGCTTGCTTCTTTTATGAAATAGATAAAGTTTGTCAGAAACTGGCCACAGGCAGTCTTGCTAAGTCTCCAGAAGCTTGTCTCTTACATCTGATTACAGTTCAAAGATGTTTGTTGGCTTTTTTATCCTCTGAAGGGCCTCCCTAAAGCAATTGCCTACTTTGGGCTCTATGTCTAGTCTGTGTGTCATCTGTGCAAATAAACAGGAGATCTTTGGACATCTCTCGAAACATTTAAAGACCACTGAAGCATAGTTTACAAAGACCACAAGCAACAAATTAGGTCTATTATCTAAAATATAAAAGCCATTTGTTTACTAAATCTGGCTTTGCAGATTTTCTAACATGCTGGGTTTTGTATTACTTATGACCTAAAAGCACTACAGTTAGCATATTACTACATCCTTCCTCACTAGAAGTCAGGGCCAAATTACAGGCTGATTTGGAGTTCCCAAATTTTGACTCTAACAGGAGAAAGGATGAATGGGAAGACAGTATCTTAAATGCTCAGGGGGAGGAGTGAAAACTAAATCACAGGATCCTTTTCACTGCCGGGGAGCTTCCACCACTTTGTTTATGTATATTTTCAGTTTAGCACTGGCTCCCTCCATTCAGCTAAAATTTACAAGAGAGACTGATGGGATTTGATGGAAAAGAAATTAACCTAGAATTAAAGGGTATAATGCTCATAATCCGTCTTTTGGCGTGGAGTTGAGCCGGGAAGTTAAGGGTAAGCCTTTGACCAGATGTCAACTGTTCTCCCTCTAGATCCTTACAGTAAGCCTCCAGCTTAGACAGAGAAAAGTATCAAGATGCTGCTGTACCGGAGCCATCGCTATTTCATCAGTGTAGTGGATAATACACACCTTACATGGCTATGAAGACCCCAAAGGAGAAAAATGAGTTTATGGGGACAAAGAGGAGGGAATATAATTTGGAAAATAAATGGAAAACATATACTGAGAAAGGAATGGATGCTATTTTGTCAGGACACAGAGGAGGGTGGATGAAGCAAATACAAAACCAGGAAAAATCTTGCCTTCTGAAAGAATAAGCACAGATTTTATTTTTTTTTGCAATTTTTTTTATATCTTTAACTTCAAAGGCTCCATCACCGATTCTCTCTTCAGGACTTGGTAAGCTGGCTGAAAAGATATGCATTTTGATTTTTTTACTAGAGGAATAAACTCCCATCACATGAAATCTTTTACTCACAATGGAAATTTTTTTCTCTCATCCTGTTTGACAAGGAATCTTTGAGATGGTTAACAATAAATTACAGAAAGTCAGTGGCTAAACAGTCTGTTACCTACCTTCCCTTTCAACAGTTGGTTAAAAATCTGCACAAACTACATACGACAGTGCCAGCAGAAGAAAACACCGCCTGTTTCACTGAGGCAGATGCATACTGCTAAATATAGATTTTACAGAACTGTTGGTTTCTAAGTTCATAGGACTCATTTCCACTGCCTCTCAGTGGCTCTTTCTCATCTCCCATGTCATTGTCTTTCATCTGTGCAAAATAGGCAGGAGAAGCTTTGCATTCATAGTGTCTGTCCAGAGATTTCAAGTGAATCAACATATGAAGAGCATAGGCAAGAACCAGCAGCAGAATCAGCGACATAACCAATCCCATAAGTATTGCTGGAGATAAAAAGGATGCACAGTCTTTTGCATAGGCAAAATGTCCTTCTTGAATGTTAAAACCTTGAATCTACAAAGTGAAGAAAAGGGCTCATATTAAATAAAGAAGTTGAGTCTTGGTTATTAACAACTTCATGAATTTATTCCTGATAGCAGTAAGAATTTTCAAGTTAATACCTGCATATTGCAAAACTGTATTTATCAGTGCTAGCTGGAGTTAATTCTCAGAGTTTATCCAGGTCAGTCTTCTAGAAACCGCCAGTTATTCAAATCCCCTTCACCCTGCTGCCCAAAAGATTTGCAGTTGTGTTTTAAACAAAATCTTCTACCATCACTCTTAATAGCCCAGTAATACTTAGCTGTAAGCATGGTACCTTTCAAGTTAACAGTGCATTTCCAGCATAATTTGTTGAGAATCTCCACAGTCTCTCTTTCAGACTCCATAAACTTCAACACAACAAACAAGAAAATATTCTCAATTGCCTACCCTAATATTAGATTTTTCTCACCAGGTCCAAGTGTGCAGCATATGGCCGCAAATCAACAGAACTACATTAAGCTGCATTCACGTGTGGCAAACACCAGTAAGTCTTACTTGTGGCTTCAGTTCTAACATCAAGTTTATCACATTGGCATTCTGACAATTGACTGTCAGTGTCACTAAATCGATTCATGGGCGTTTATCACACGGTGAGAAAAGGGGGATCAACTTTTCCCCCATCCTGTTTTTCAGCTATTCATCCCCTATGACTTAGGTACCTAAAAGCAAGACATCCTAGTCCGGTCACCTTAGGCTTCTTTACTGTGAAATGCAGAAAAGCAGACACAAAATAAGGATTTAGGATGAGTCAGAGGAATTATCCTCTGGCTTTAGAGGCAGGCTGGGGTGACTATAATCAGGGCACAAGGTTAAAATTACCAGGCATCAAAAGTTAAGCGAGAAGAATCCCATACTTGGCGACTGATGCTGTTTTGATGCCAGGTTTAAGAGCCCAGCTCCGAGAGACGTAACACTGAAATTTAAATTGACTCCTCACACTAAAGTGAAACCCAAGCAAGAGACTACAGAAAACCTACACAGCCCTTCATTTCCTTTGACTGGAAAATAAATAGAATAACTTACATCTTCATGTCTATTCAATTTCTATTTCAAGTTCCATGGAGATTTTGTAAACTATACCTGGAAGGTCTCTGTTCTTTCTTAGCAGTGAAGTGCAAAATTTCCCATCAGTCTACCTACAAGACCCATTGAGCTTAATTCTACAACATTACCTGGAAATCAGTAAAAGTGACTTCCCAAAGCTTTGAAAGATCATTTGCTGAGCTCGGTATGAGAAGTGCATCATATCTCTGCAAGCTGCTCACGTGTTCACAGTGGTAGGAGTAACTTGCTGGTGCATATATTCTGGTTGCATTAAACGTTGCTTGTATGGAATGATTGTAGAGAAGCTGCAGTCTGCGTAAACTGAACCAGTTCTGAACAGACAGCTCGTAATAGCTGGTGGTTAATAAGAATCTGAAATTATTGTATGGGAAGAAAGATAAGTAAGAAAACAAGTCTATATAAGAGTTGAAACTATTACATTCACATGCTGAACAATCTTAAAAGACAGCCCAGTATTACCAGAGTTTCACCCACTTAAATCCGTGTGAGCTCCAGCTCCTTCTATTGAGTCTGGAAAGTGATTTGAGGTTCTTCATTGCTACAGGTGAAGGAACTTTCTGCTCCCTCACATAGTAAGAGGAAATGTGAGGGAATTTTCCTAAATGACTGAGAAAAATCTATATGCAACATTGGTATTCTATTGCCATCCAAGATATGGAAAATTATTTATCAAGAAATCCTGTTTTCTTTCATCGACAAGAAGTAAACATAAAATAGGCCACAGTCTGATGCCTGAGCAGCCCACACTATCAGTTCTTGATCCAAAATTCCCAGACAAAAATGTCTAGCAAAGGTCTAGCAAAAATCTCAGACATGGGGAGATTCTATTCAAAAGAAATGCCACAAACTTTTCTCATGAATACAAAAGTCAACACAGAAGAAGAAATGTGTTAATAAAACAGAGCAGGCAAATGACAGAACTATTAAATGCAGGTGTCTCAATTACACAATCAACAGTTTCTGTCGTATTATTTTTGCTTACACAAATTCTCCTAAAACAAATCTCACAACCAACTGCATAACAATGTATATTAACATGTGATTATCTAATATTTTCTTTAGCATATAAACTTACCTAATAACAAGTCCCTTTAGATTGCCAATGTCACCAAACTTCAGAGAAAGCCTATGTCAAAAAGCAAGTAACGTCAGGTTAGATAAAAACTTCAGAAATCTTAAGAGAAAAAAAATAGCACAAAAGATTTCACACAAGATGCAAGCTTCTTCTACCTTGACTAATACTGGTTTAACAAGCCAGGACACTGAATCCACACTGTCCCTTGCTTTATTACAAAGGGAAATCACAGATACTTGAGAATTAGACACAGGCCAATGCACTAAACTCAGTGGCCTGACCCAGAAGTTGCTGCATACAAAAACCCCGCAAGTTGAACTATTGTATTTATATAGCAAACGCATATCCATTCAATGCCAAGTATTTTTTCCTGGATCCAGCTGCTTTGCATTAATTAGACAATTTAAAACAGCTTGAAAGCTGACCTAAAGCCACAACAGAGTATTGCCTTAACGAAAAGGGCTGGAGAAGGGAGAAGCTTAAGGGACTTTTCTAGGGTGAGAAAAACTGGGCAATGCATCATGTGAGTACTCAGTCATCAACTGGCATAATTTGGTTCAGTCCTTAAACCCAAGACTACAGAGCAACATTCAATTCAGTTTTCCCCTTTCTTCTCTGCTACAGTCAAATGCAGGTTGACTGAAAGTCTAATGTAACACTTGTATTTGGCAATTATGCTGAGTCTAATCCTGGCTTATGAGCCCAGGTTATCCATTTTCCTATCACAGAGCACAACTTCTACATATAGGGATCACAAGCAGTACCTAGATGCTGTCAGTGGTAATGAATGAATGCATACTTGAAACATACAGTTTCTAATTACTTTATACTTGGAATCTAGCAGAGATGCCACAGATCTGTTCATGCAATCTGTCAAATGCCCTGAAAAATCCCTCCTAGTGGGAACTCAGAAAAAGACAGGGCTTTCTTGGTTAGGATTCGGGAGGACATTCAAAGGGCTGGACCCACTGGGACTAGTATTTCTCAATGTGTCACAAATAAGCAAAGTATAGAACATGCAAGAGAGCAAAACCATTGGGAATGGGTAGCATGTTCCTCTCTGTCTCCACAGAACAGAGGAGAAAAGGCTCAGTGGTCACAGTATGTCTCTTGACCCCAGCAAAAAAATGCCAGCCTCAACTTCAAACTAAGCATCAAGGTCCTGCCTGCCTTTAGCAGGTGTGTCCCTAGTTCAAGGCTACTCAGAAAAGATCAGAAGACATCGCATATAAGATGGCACTGGACTCACAGATTTTGAGATCAAACCTCAGATATGGTGAAACACTGATAAAAGGCATGTCAAGGGTATGCCACAGAGTTGTTCTTCTTCCTGACTCTTCCTGCAGCTTTTTTAATGAATAATGTGTTCTGTAACATGTTCTGGATGCTGTGCAAGCACTGCTTAGCGAGAGCCAAAACACTACTGTGTTATTGACACTGCTATGGCCACAAACTCAAAACATAAGACAATTATCTCCTTCCCAGCTAGAGCCAGATCAAGTCCTAATTTATTTGAACTCTGTATTTATAGAATGAAGCATCCACAACTGTAACCAGACTAGAGAGGTACCTGTGACAGAAAGGCAGACAGAGTAATCTGCTCAGATCTAACCACCTCCAAACAGGGGAACCAATAGAAGTTTGCAGCCCACCACTGCACTGTCTTTCTGAGTTTTCAAGCCTTAAGAACAACTATAAATCTGTACTTTGTGTTTTGAAACCCTTGCTTTTGTATGAGTGCATTTTCTATTAGGTTACAACCATTACTAATGACTACATCTGAATTGCAGACCAGAACAGAAGAAGGAATGTTTTTTATTACTTTTTATTTTTAAAATAATATTATTCCATTCTCTGCCTCTGCCTTTCAAAACATAGTGCTGGATTTGTTCACATGCTGAAGACTTAAAATGCAGATTGCCTTGTTGAATACTCTGATACCACTGTCAGAAAACCTGGCTTCTTCTTCAACAATACTTTTAGCTTTCTTGTAACCTCACTAAATTTCTGTGCACCTTTGGTAATCCTTCACAGATACATAATCAGAAAGAGGTAACACTACTTTCTGTGGAAACGCCGTTAGTCATACAGGTGAAATGTTGCATAGGAGCTAAATGAAACTGCTGGGTTTGGTAATGTTATTTTTATTCTTGTGTGTCATTACAGATTTCAACTCCACTGATGGGGCAGACTCAATGCTCAAGTTCAGCATGTACCCAGTTAGGTATCTACCTCCTAATTTATAGATTCTTGCCTACCAGAGTAGAATGAATCAACAACCTGGTATTAGACATTAAACCAGCCAGCATACTACATGGAAGGAGAGAAGTGGTCAAGCACACTACAGAGGAAATCAAAAAACCTACATGCCTTTCTAGTATGGCCATGGGATTAGAGGATTTTGGATCCAGTTAGGTTAATGTATAGCTCTCACTCAGGTTTAGGAGAAGCAAAGCATTGTGCTGTTCATCCTGAAGAAATTCATGACAGACTGGGACATAGAGCTCAGGTTTTCAGAGACTCTTCAGATCCCATGCAATCCTGTAGTGAATTCACTCTTTGTCTTCAGCAACTCACAGATCACATCCTGGGACTTGGCTACCCAACTCTGTTCCTAAGAACACATCTACACCTTGTACCAATGGTCTACATTATTATTGCTGGCACCCACTGACATACATGCTATGACGGGATAAGTAGTAAACCCCCATATTCAGCATAGGATCCACTATTCAATCTCCCAAGCAGTTATGTAAAACAGCTGGAGTCTAAAGAGATCAACAGCTTCAGATTCACAGGCACTAAATGCAAAACTGGCTGGGCACAAGGACTGACTAAACCACTGCAAAAAATGAAGACAGACATGTACATCTATGTGTCCCATGAAAAGACTGGTCTGAGAGCACATAACCCATGCTGCCCTGCTGCCTGCAACATCAGGACATTATAGGAAAGATCTTGCCCCTGGGGCTCTACACCACGTATTACTAGGTCTCTTTCCTTCAGTGTGTATTTACTAGACTTATCTGGTACTAGTTCCATTGGCAGAGTAGAATGACACCTTACATTGCACTGTCTTCACTGCAGTTTGAATCTCCAATATCCACTGTTGCATGGACACCAAACGTCTTCTCTGTCAAATCCAGCTGTGTGTGGTTTTCAAACTTAATCATGATCCTCTTGGCCCGAAAGAGAATGCAGGGGATGCCATTAACTGTGACGTTGAGAGGGCTGTAGTGGCTGTGGGTGAACGGCCTCCAGGATGCTCTTTCCCACTGTCCTTTCCTGCTCAAGTTGTAGCTGACAACCTGATTGACCACATAAAAGACCAGTATCAAAAGATGTATACTTCACGAGTTACTCTCCATCCTACCAGAAAAATGAGGCCAGCACTTCGAGAGAACTTGTGGAGCCAGTTCTCAGACACAACAGCACTGAACTGAGGAAGCAGAGAAATCTCTAGCTAACCTCTTCCCACCATGGGAACAGCACCATACAGACCTCTAGCTCCAGCAAAACTGGACAGAGAGTCAATATAAGTTATATTTATTCTACTAGGCTAGTATCACATTCTTAGCATGCTCCCATCTCACTCCAGCACACTGTAGAGCTGCCCAATATAAAATGCTGAAGCAAAGCTAGAATCACAGGGTGCTCACCCAGCAGAAGAATCTCTAGGACATCTGTAAAAATTACTTCAATACACTAAAGAGGACACAGCTTGGGCCAAGGACACAGCCTAACACGCTAAAAGCACACTAGGCAGCCATTCAGACGAAATAAATGCCCAAGTCTACATCTACCTGTGGACAGTCTGGCTCCTGATGGTTTTAAAAACAGGAAAATGCCTGCTGCCGAACAGGATGGCTCAAATATGGATCCCTGCCTTTACAAAATCAGTCATTCACAAGATTAAAACCTGGGGACTGAAGCTTCCATGTCATCTGTTGTGATGGGTTTGCCCTTGGCTAGGGG